GTGTCGTGGGCAGCTGTTCCATTGGTACTCCAGTGTGGTGACGGCAACACTGCAGTCCGAACCTCGCACGTCGCCTGCCATTGCCATTCGCGCGATTGTCCCTGCTTCTGAATCTGCCAACTTGCCGTGTCGACGGGACCACTCACCGGGGGCACGTTCTCGACAGTCCTCCATGGCAAGCAAAGGTTTTGTTCTTCTCCTCCTCCTCCTCTTCCTCGTCCTCCTCCTCCTTCTCTTCCTCTTCCTCCTCGTCCTCCTTCTTCTCCTCGTCTTGTTGTTGTTCTTCTTCTTCCACCTCCTCCTCCTCTTCCTCCTCCTCCTCGTCTTTTTGTTGTTCTTCTTCTTCCTCCTCCTCCTCCTCCTCGTCCTCTTCCTCGTTCTCCTCCTCCTCTTTCTCTCCCTCCTCCTCGTCCTCTTCCTCCTCCACGTCTTGTTGTTGCTGCTGCTGCTCCTCCTCCTCCTCCTCCTCGTCTTGTTGCTGTTTTTATACTTCGTCCTCCTCCTCAGTTGCTTCCTGCCTAGGTAGGATCTCCCGACCTGTCCACCCTGCGTAATTGCAACGTTCTCTTCTGCCCTGCGCACGTTTTGGACAACAGGTGGAGGATGACGAGGAGGAGGAGGAGTAGGAGGAGGGGGTGGGGAAGGTGGAGAACGAAGTCGAAGAAGAAAACGGATCTTGTTTTCGGAAAATGGATTTGATTTTGAAGATCCAACCGATTCGATTCTTTCGCGTACACACATTTTTTTTTCCCGTCTTGATCAGCGAATCCGTTCATTTTTTTTCGTCTCGATCAGCGAATCGGTTCGAATGGATCAGCGAATCCGTTCATTTTTTTTCGTCTCGATCAGCAAATCGGTTCGAATGGATCAGCGTCTCGATCAGCGAATCGGTTCATTTTGTTTGATTGATTGATTGATTGATTGATTGATTGATTGATTGATTGATTGATTGATTGATTGACTGATCGATTTAACAAAACAACAAACGGTAGAGGATGGGGAGTAGGAGGGAGAGGGCAACGAGGAGGAGAAGGAGGAGGAGGAGGAGGAGGAGGAGGATGACGAGGAGGAGGCCGATGAGCCACTCCTTCTCTTTCGCTTTTTGATATGTATACACATATCCAAAGGAGGCTGCCGAGGAGGAGGATGGCGAGGAGGAGGAGGAGGAGAACGAAGTCGAAGAAGAGAATGGATCTTGTTTTCGAAAAATGGATCTTCATTTTGAAGATCCAACCGATTGGATTCTTTCGTGTACACATTTTTTTTCTTCTTCGTCTGGATCAGCGAATCGGTTCGAATGGATCTTGTTTTCCAATATCCTATCGTTTCGATTTGCTCGAACGATTGATTGATTGACTGATTGATTGATTGATTGATTGATTGATTGATTGATTGATTGATTGATTGATTGATTGATTGATTGATTGACTGATCGATTTAACAGAACAACAAATGGTGGAGGATGGCGAGTAGGAGGGAGAGGGCAACGAGGAGGGGAAGGAGGAGGAGGAGGAGGAGGAGGAGGAGGATGGCGAGGAGGAGGCCGATGAGTCACTCCTTCTCTTTCGCTTTTCGATATGTATACACATATCGAAAGGAGGATGGCGAGGAGGAGGATGGCAAGGAGGAGGATGGCGAGGAGGAGGATGACGAGGAGGAGGAGGATACCGAGGAGGAGGATGGCAAGGAGGAGGATGGCGAGGAGGAGGAGGAGGAGGATGGCGAGGTTCTAATTAATCTTGTTGTCCAATGTGTTATCTGCTAAATAAATTTTGATTTTGAAAATCAAATCGGTCCGATTCTTTCGCATAAACACATCTTTTTTTCGTTCGGATCAGCGAATCGGTTTCTTGAATTAGACACGCCACGTTTTCGGTTTCAATTTATTTTTTTTGGTTCCTATTTTTTTCAAAAAACAGATCTTGATTTTGAAGATCGAATCGGTTGTAGTTGTTCGCGTGGCACAACTTTGTTTCGTTTGGATCTCGAATCGGTTCGAATGGATCTTGTTTTCCAAGATCCAATCGTTTCGATTTGTTCAATTAGGTAGTTCAATGTTTTTGGTTGAATGATTGATTGATTGATTGATTGATTGATTGATTGATTAATTGATTGATTAAGCAAAACAAAAAACGGACGCGGTAGAAGGGGGTCCGGATTGCAATGTGTTATCTGCTGTTTGCTTGCCTACTTGGACTTCAGCGTGAATCGCAATTTAGATTTCCGAACTATGAATGCATACGCTTTCTTTGCAAATCACGAAACAAAAAACAAAAACGGAATAGACAAGCATGTAAACGGAGGAGGATGGCGAGTTTTTTCGAATTGCGATGTGCTAGCTGCTCATTGCTAACGAGCCGAATCGATTTCTTGAATTAGACACTTTGTATTTTTGGTTCCAAGTTTTTTTTGTTTTTTTTTTTTCCTGTTTTTTTTTTTTCGAAAAATGGATTTTGATTTTGCAGATCCAATCGGTTCCATTCTTTCGCGTACACATATCTTTTGTTCGTTTGGATCAGCAAATCGATTCGAAATGATCTTATTTTCCAAGATCCAATCGTTTGGATTTGTTCGATTAGGCAGTTCATTTTGATTGATTGATTGATTGATTGATTGATTGATTGATTGATTAATTGATTGATTGATTGATTGATTGATTGATCGATTTAACAGAACAACAGACGGTGGAGGATGGCGAGCAGGAGGAAGAGGGAAACGAGGAGGAGAAGGAGGAGGAGGACGAGGACGAGGACGACGAGGAGGAGGCCGATAAGCCACTCCTTCTCTTCCGCTTTTGATATGTGTATGGTCGTTTGCCTCTCTCTGACCCCAAATCGGTCAGCAAGGATACCGAGGAGGAGGATGGCGAGGAGGAGGATGGCGAGGAGGAGGAGGAGGAGGAGGAGGAGGAGGAGGAGGAGGATGGCGAGGTTCTAATTAATCTTGTTGTCCAATGTGCTATCTGCTAAATGAATCTTGACTACGAAGATCGAATTGGTTCGATTCTTTCGCGTAGACACATCTTTTTTCGTTCGGATTTTGATGAATCTTGATTTCGAATCTATCTGCTAAATGAATCTTGATTTTGAAGATCGCGGCTTGTGATGGAAGATGGGGACATGCTTTTCCTCTCGCCGCAGTCGACAATGTGACGGGGGACGCCACGGGGCTATATTGATCTCTCGCAACCAACCTCCCAGTCTTTAACGTGCCATTTTCTTGTTTATTCTTTTTTCGACTACAAAAGGTTGTAATCGATCGCTGCTTCGATGCTTCTCTCCCCAATGTCGTTGTGACGGGACATGGGATGGGAAGAAAGTGATGGGAAGATATGTTTCTCTCCCGTCCGTATGCGTGATGGGAGTGCGACATTGTGAGACATGTGTGTGTCTTTTGCTCAGTGACCGGTAACCGGCCGCTGACTCGCTCTTTCGCGTTGTTTTTTTTTTGTTCATTGGTAATAGGTAATAGTTGTCACTCGCCTGCTGTTTCGATGGTTTCCCTCGCACTGCAGTGGTGATGGGGAATGCTACGGGGCGCTGTTACCCGATGGTCGGACGTCACCGCGACACTCGATGGTCGGGCGTCGTCTTGACGTCCGACCATCGGGCGTCGCATCGGCACCCGATGGTCGGGCGCCGCATCGACACCCGACGGTAGGGCGTCGCATCAACAACCGATGGTCGGGTGTCGCATCAACAACCGATGGTTGGGCGGTTCAACATCCGACGGTTTCCCTGCGGTTTGACACCCAATGGTCGGGCGTTGCATCAACACCCGATGGTCGGGCGTCGCACCAACACCCGATGTCGGGCATTGCACCAACACCCGATGGTCGGGCGTCGCTTCGACACCCGATGGTAGGGCGTCGCTTCGACACCCGATGGTCGGGCGTCGCCTGGACACCCGATGTTGCAGACGGTGCGACCATCGGGTGTCGCCGCGACACCCGATGGTTCGCAGCACATCGGGACCCGCTGCCCGGACAGAGAGGAGGCACGGAGTGTTTCTTGCTGTGCAACATCGGGTGTCGCCACGACGCACGATGATGCAGACGGGGCGACCATCGGGTGTCGCCGCGACGCCTGATGATACAGACGGGGCGACCATCGGGTGTCGCCGCGACGGTAGATGATACAGGCGGGGCGACCATCGGGTGTTGTCGCAACACCCGATGGTGTGCAGCGCATCGGAACCCGCCGCTCGTGCAGAGAGGAGACACGAAATGTTCCTTACTGTTTAACATCGGGCGTCTAGGCGACACCTGATGCTCGTCCCATCTGTGTTACCTGCTCTTTGTTTATCTGCATGCGGGTGGTTTCCTGGTTTTGATGTGCTACCTGCTCTTTGCTTGGCCTCTTGGACTCCGGCGCCCGAGTGTCGGACCCGCCTGCACCATCGGGCGTCGCGGCGACGGCCGATGGTCGGGCCGCCCACACCGTCGACCGGACCATGCCGCCCGAGGGTCGGGCCAATGCGGACGGTTCCTTGGTTCCACTGTGCCATCCGAATGAGGCGTGAAATGCAATTTGGATTCCTGCTGTGCTATCTGCTTTTCGGTATCTGCTCTTTGCTTATCTGCACTTCGTTCACATATGGATGGTTCCTTGGTTCCACTGTGCTATCTGGTGTCTGATATCTACTATTCGCTTGATGACTTGCAAACAATGTCCTATCTGCTCTTTGATTGACGACTTGGAACCAATGTGTTACCTGCTCTTTGATCGACGACTTGGAACAAATGTGCTATCTGCTCTTTGATTGAAGACTTGGAACCAATGTGCAATCTGCTCTTTGTTTGACGACTTGTGGATGGGACCAATGCGTGTTTGATGACTTGTGGATGGGACCAATGCTATCTACTCGTTGCTTGCCCGCTTGGACTGCAGCGTGATTTGCAATTGGGACCAATGTGGTACTTCCTCTTTGCCCGAGCAGCGGGTCCCGATGTGATGTACACCATCGGGTGTCGCGGCGACACCGAGTGGTCGCCCCTCGCGACACCCGATGGTCGGGCGTCGCCTCGCCGCCCGAGGGTCGGGCCAATGCAGATGGTTGTTTGGTTGCACTGTGCCGTGCACCATCGTGTGTCCCAGCGACACCCGATGGTCGCCCCGTCTGTACCATCGGGCGTCGCGGCGACGGCCGATGGGAGGATGGGACCAATGATGTCTACTCTTTGCTTGCCCGCTTGGACTGCAGCGTGCTTTTCAATTGGGACCAATGCGCTACCTCCTCTTTGCTCGAGCAGCGGGTCCCGATGTGCTGTTCACCATCGGGTGTCGCGGCGACACCCGATGGTCGCCCTGTCTGTACCACCGGGCCTCGCGGCGACGGCCGATGGTCGGGCCGTCCGCAACGTCGACCGGACCATTGAGCGCCGGCGCGACACCCGATGGTCGGCCGTCGAATCACCGCCCGAGGGTCGGGCCAATGCAGATGGTCGTTTGGTTGCACTGTGCCATCTTATCTTTCCATGGCCACTTGGCCTGCAGTGTGCTATGCACTTTCGATTTCTCATGTGCTATCTGCTCTTTGCTATTTGCACTTTGCTTATCTGCACTTCGTCCACATGTGGATGCTTTCCTGGTTCCACTGTGCAATCTGCTCTTTGCTATCTGCTCTTTGTTTGACGACTTATGGAAGGTTTCTTGGTTCTAAAGTTGGAGATCTGCACTTCGTTGACATTTAGCTGCTTTCTTCGTTCCACTGTGCGATCTGCTCTTTGCTATCTGATCTTTGTTTGACGACTTCGAACGAACGTGCTGTATGCTTTTTGATCGACAACTTGGAACCAATGTGTTATCTGCTCTTTGATTGACGACTTGGAACCAATGTGCAATCTGCTCTTTGCCATCTGCTCTTTGTTTGACGACTTGTGGATGGGACCAATGCGTGTTTGAGGACTTGTGGTTGGGACCACTTGGAACCAATCTCCTGTACGCTTGCAATCTGCTGTACGTTGTGTGTTATTCGCTTGACGACTTCGAACCAATGTGCTATCTGCACTTCGTCCACATGTGGATGCTTTCCTGGTTCCACTGTGCAATCTGCTCTTTGCTATCTGCTCTTTGCTATCTGCTCTTTGCTTGCCAACTTATGGATGGTTTCTTGGTTCCACAGTTGGATATCTGCACTTCGTTCACATTTGGATGCTTTCTTGGTTCCACTGTGCGATCTGCTCTTTGCAGTCTGTTCTTTGCTAGCTGCTCTTTGTTTGACGACTTGTGGATGGGACCAATGCGTGTTTGACGACTTGTGGATGGGACCAACGCTATCTACTCTTCGCTTGCTCGCTTGGACTGCAGTGTGATTTGCAATTGGGACCAATGCGCTACCTCCTCTCTGCCCGAGCAACGGGTCCTGATGTGCTGCATACCATCGGGTGTCGCGGCGAGACCCGATGGTCGCCCCGTCTGTACCACCGGGCGTCGCGGCGACGGTCGAGGGTCGGGCCAATGCAGATGGTCGCTTGATTGCACTGTGCCATCTTATCTTCCCATGGGCGCTTGGCCTGCAGCGTGATATGGACTTTGGATTTCTCCTGTGCTATCTGGTCTTTGCTTTCTGCACTTTGCCTTTCTGCACTTCGTTCACATGTGGATGTTTTCCTGGTTCCACTATGCAATCTGTTGTACGCTGTCTGCTATTCACTTGACGACTTAGAACCAATGTGCTATCTGCTTTTTGCTGTCTGCTCTTTGTTTCACGACTTGTGGATGGGACCACTGCGTGGTTGACGACTTGTGGATGGGACCAATGCTATCTACTATTTGCTTGCCTGCTTGGACTGCAGCGTGATTTGCAATTGGGACCAATGCGCACCTCCTCTTTGCCCGAGCAGCGGGTCCCGATGTGTTGTACACCATCGGGTGTGGCGGTGACACCCGTTGGTCGCCCCGTCTGTACCATCGGGCGTCGCGGCGACGGCCGATGGTCGGGCCGTCCGCACCGTCTACCGGACCATCTAGCGCCAGCGTGACACTTGATGGTCGGGCATCGCCTCGCCGCCCGAGGGTCGGGCCAATGCAGATGGTTGCTTGGTTGCGCTGTGCCATCTTATCTTCCCATGGGCGCTTGGCCTGCAGCGTGATATGCACTTTGGCTTTGTCCTTTGCTATCTGCACTTTGCTTATCTGCACTTCGTTCACATATGGATGCTTTCCTGGTTCCACTATGCAATCTGTTGTATGCTATCTGCTATTCGCTTGACGACTTGGAACCAATCTGATATCTGCACTTCGTCCACATGTGGATGCTTTCCTAGTTCTAGTGTGCAATCTGTTTTTTGCTATCTGCTCTTTGCTTGACGACTTATGGATGGTTTCTTGGTTCCACAGTTGGATATCTGCACTTCGTTCACATTTGGATGCTTTCTTGGTTCCATTGTGCGATCTGCTCTTTGTTATCTACTCTTTGTTTTACGACTTAGAACCAACGTGCTATCTGCTCTTTGGTCGACGACTTGGAACCAATGTGCTATCTGCTCTTTGATTGACAACTTGGAACCAATGTGCAATCTGCTCTTTGCCATCTGCTCTTTCTTTGACGACTTGTGGATGGGACCAATGCGTGTTTGACGACTTGTTGTTGGGACCAATGCTATCTACTCTTTGCTTGCCCGCTTGGACTGCAACGTGATTTGCAATTGGGACCAATGCGCTACATCTCTCTGCCTGAGCAGCGGATCCCGATGTGCTATACACCATCGGGTGTCGCGGCGACACCCGATGGTCGCCCCGTCTGTACCACCGGGCGTTGCGGTGACGACCGATGGTCCGGCCGTCCGCACCGTCGGCGCAACACCTGATTGTCGGGGGTCGCCTCGCCGCCCGGGGGTCGGGCGAATGCAGATGGTTGCTTGGTTGCACTGTGCCATCTTATCTTCCCACGGGCGCTCGGCCTGCAGTGTGCTATGCACTTTGGATTTCTCATGTGCTATCTGCTCTTTGCTATCTGCACTTTGCTTATCTGCATTTCGTTCACATGTGGATGCTTTCCTGGTTCCACTATGCAGTTTGTTGTACATTATCTGCTATTCGCTTGACAACTTGAAACCAGTGTGCTATCTGCTCTTCGTCCACATGTGGATGCTTTCCTGGTTCCACTGTGCAATCTGTTCTTTGCTATCTGCTCTTTGCTTGCCGACTTGTGGATAGTTTCTTGGTTCCACAGTTGGATATTTGCACTTCGTTCACATTTGTATGCTTTCTTGGTTCCACTGTGCAATCTGCTATTTGCAATCTGCTCTTTGCTGTCTGCTCTTTGTTTGACGACTTGTGGATGGGACCAATGCGTGTTTGACGACTTGTGGATGGGACCAATGCTATCTACTCTTTGCTTGCCCGCTTGGACTGCAGTGTGTTTTGCAATGGGGACCAATGCGCTATCTCCTCTTTACCCGAGCAGCGGGTCCCGATGTGTTGTACACCATCGGGTGTCACGGCGACACCCGATGGTCGCTCTGTCTGTGCCGTCGGGCGTCGCTGCGATGGCCGAGGGTCGGGCCAATGCAGATGGTTGCTTGGTTGCACTGTGCGATCTTATCTTCCCATGGGCGCTTGCCCTGCAGCGTGATATGCACTTTGGATTTCTCCTGTGCTATCTGGTCTTTGCTATCTGCACTTTGCTTATCTGCACTTCGTTCACATATGGATGCTTTCCTAGTTCCACTATGCAATCTGCTGTACGCTATCTCCTCTTTGCTTTACAACTTATGGATGGTTTCTTGGTTCGCTTGACGACTTGGAACCAATGTGTTATCTGCACTTCGTCCACATGTGGATGCTTTCCTGGTTCCACTGTGCAATCTGCTCTTTGCTATCTGCTCTTTGCTTGCCAACTTATGGATGGTTTCTTGGTTCCACAGTTGGATATTTGCACTTCGTTCACATTTGGATGCTTTCTTGGTTCCACTGTGCGATCTGCTCTTTGCTATCTGCTCTTTGCTTGATGACTTGGAACCAACGTGCTATCTGCTCTTTGATCGACGACTTGGAACCAATGTGCTATCTGCTCTTTGATTGATGACTCAGAACCAATGTGCAATCTGCTCTTTGCTATCTGCTCTTTGTTTGACGACTTGTGGATGGGACCAATGCGTGTTTGACGACTTCTGGGTGGGACCAATGCTATCTACTCTTTGCTTGCCCGCTTGGAATGCAGCGTGATTTGCAATTGGGACTAATGCGCTACCTCGTCTTTGCCCGAGCAGCGGGTCCCGATGTGCTGTGCACCATCGGGTGTCGCGGCGACACCCGGTGGTCGCCCCGTCTGTACCAACGGGCATCCGGGGACGGCCGATGGTCGGGCCGTCCGCACCGTCGACCGGACCATCGAGCGCCGGCGCGTCACCCGATGGTCGGGCATCGCCTCGCCGCCCAAGGGTCGGGCCAATCCGGATGGCTGCTTGGTTGCATTGTGCCATCTTACCTTTTCATGGGCACTTTGTCTGCAGCGTGATATGGACTGCAACGTGCACATGTGGATGGTTTTCTGGATCCGTGGTGCTATCTGCTCTTTGCTTCACCACTCGGACTGCACCGTGATTTGCAATTGGGACCAAGGCGCTGCCTGCTCTTTGCCCGAGCAACCTTCCAGTGTGCTACCGTTCTCATACGGATGTTTCTTGTTGTGCACCATCGGGTGTCGCGGCGACAACCGATGGTCGTTTCGTGTGCACCATCGGGCGCCGCGGCGACAGCCGATGGTGGCCCCGTCTGCGCCATCGGCCGTCTGCACCATCATGTGTCAAGTGACCAATGGCCTCGGGCATCGCTGGCCTTTGCCTCGCTTGTGCTGGTCACATATTCTTTTCTCGTGGGCATGTAGATGTGGTTCGTTCTTCGTCGCAGACGTCCACCCCCAAGGTGGTTGGCAGAGCGGCATTGTTCCATGGGATGGAATGGGCGCTTGACTGGTTCGGCAGGGTTAAGCAGCAGGGACGCGGTCCCGTGATATTCCTGAAGGACGATGGCGGACATTTTTACGTGTGTGGTGGGATCGACAGTTATGACGTCGACAAATTTGTCGGCGAGGAGGGGTGCTACGATTTTCACTTGACCACATGCTTCGATAGTGGCGGCGTCGAACTGCCGGGGAAATACAAGAAAGTGTCACTGCATTTGTCGGGATTTGCTGGCTATGACATGAATGTTGTGGCATTGCCTTCGTTTGATAGGTCGAAGAAACTGAAGGCTGTCCAGATGGTGGGACCGATCGAGTTCCTGAAGAAAACGTCGTGCTATAATGTTACGGGCTTTAAGGTCAAGGTGGACAGCAACGTGCGTTTGTCGACACCGTTCATGTCTGCGGAAACTTTGAGGGAGGTGTTCGAGGGCATTTGGAGGACACACAAGCACGGGGAGTCTAAACAAGGTACGCTGCGATCCGCTCTCGGCGTTGGAACTGAAGGTGGAACGCATTCGACAAGGACGAAGAACACCGCACCAACCGAAAAGGTATTCGTCGTGACAAACGAAACGCCTTCTCCTCAGGACGGGTTTCCCAAACCGGGGAACACAAAGGAAAAATCGTCGAAGGCCGCCAAGGCACCGTCGGTCTTTTCTCGTCGAGCGCAGCATCGGAAAAAGGTTTCACCGCGTAACAAGGATGAAGAGAATGTTGAGTGGGACACCCGTGGGGTGCCGTCATCCAGCCACTGTCCCGATAGGGATGACGGGGTTGACGAACGTGAGGGAAAATCGAGTGAACAGGGCGCCGAGGAAGGAAGTATGCGGGGCGACGCCACGGAGGGCGACGGTGATGAGCGGGAGAGCGGCGAGGCCACTGGGGACGACAATGCAAGAGAGGACGAGGGGGGTGGAGACGAAGGGGAGGACGGCGAGGAGGAGGAGAACCCGGAAGGGGAGAGCCGCGAGGAGGAGGAAAATCCGGGAGATGCAGAAGAAAGAACTCCACACGGAAGCAAGAACAATGGCAGAGACGAGGACAGCGACGAGGAAGAAAGCGGTGGGGAAACGGACCGGGACATCGAAGTTGCCGGCACACAAGCATCAGCGAACTCGCGCAAACGAGAAATGCACAGTGAGCGACGTCGAGCGGAGATAATTGGTTTGGGCGCGTCTCATACCTCATACGTGCAACATTTAGAAAGACAATCGGGGAAACTCGAGAAAGAGAGGCATGAGCGGCCCGCGAAAATTGCAAAGAAGAAAGTCAGAGTCGAAGGAACGAAAGAGGTTGCTGACTCTAGCGACGAGGGAGTTGGGGTTGACCCGAGAGACCACACCGCGAAAGCCGGGAAGCTGGAGTCGTCTGCCTTCGACACAACAAATTGTTTCTTCCTGGAGTACGACAGTGACGGGAATGCAGTGCAACGACCTCAAGAGATCTACGTGGACTGCATGAAGGTTTTGCCAAACCCCGTGGGAGGCCCTGTGCAATACAATGTCAGACCACTCAATGAAATGCTCGTCGTTTCCATCATGAGAGCAATGAAACTGCCAGAGAAGAAGGGAGAGTGGGACAGGGCCACATGGATATTGGCCCCTGTGACGAAAGTGGCTATTCGTGGTCAAAAACAGTGGGTGCGTGTGAAACCCGAACATTTCGATGCGGACGACATGCACACGTACCATTGGTATGTGGTGGGTGGACAACACACGGCGGAGGCTTGTCGGACACTGGTTGCGGCCAATTCGCCGGTTGCGCAGACGTGGGGTGTGCGTTCATGGCGTGCACGTGCTGTGTATTTCGATGATAACAATCTCGACGGATATGCTCACGTTCGACTTTCGATAACACAAGAGAGACACGAGCTATCCTGGATTCCTTCCGTGTGTCGATGAAAAATATCAGAGACTTGTGGGTTGACATGGGGATGCCTTCTGGCGATTGGCAACACGCACCGCCGAAAACGGATAAGGAGGCCTTGAGAGATAACTATCAGAAATTCATCCGCAGAGCCGTCCGGCTCACCGCTGACTCCGAACTGCGAGGGCAAAAACTGAAGCCGGCCTACAACACGAATTGGTTGAATTAAGTGAGATCGCATCTTGTGTTGGCAACAATTGGCAAAAGAGTGTGGGACCTTCTAACCCGATTCTTTAACTCGTGGGACGCGGGACTCTTGCCTGATAAGACTGGCGTGCCTCCGGTGGATCAACAAGGGAAACAAGTGGCCATTGCTGGTCCGGGTCCATGCGCGTTGTCAATAAAAGGCAAGAAGGAGCTAGTGCACTACGTCTTGTCCAACAAATCGCCTGACGCGCACTACGTCTGCATTCGAGACCCTCCGCAAAGCGCGTGGAAGGTGTTCGAAGACTTGACTGCAAGAGAGAAGGAGATGGTGTTAGAAATGATATTGGACCGCCATGTGGTTGTCACGACGGGGCGGACGTTCAACAAAAACTTGTTGAACATGGACGACATTATGGTTGAGGTTCGGCGTGAGAGATACATGATACGCCTTTTCAACTATGTGGTTTTCAAAACGGAAGGTCGCAAGGAGGATGAGTGGCATGATGAGTTTTTCATTGGCTACTCGCGTATAATGGACAGATTTGCCCCGACGGGACTCACCAAGGAGCAATGGAAGGAAAACAAGACGAAGGTGCCAGCTCACAAGGCGAAAGATGTGCCAAAACGTCTGGGCGACATTGACGAACCAAAGGTGGGCAAGGTGGGAGGGTTCAAGTTGACGCGGACACTATATGCGGAGTGTCCGTATTATCTGAAAGTGTTCATGCATGAAATCATCGGGGCTATCGATCAGCTGCGGGACGAGTTGCGGCGCATAAGTGCAAATGCGAGGCACGTGATGTGGGATGGAAACAACGATCACACTACGTTTCCTCCGATATGCTTGGCACCGTACGAGGCGCTGCAACCATCGGAGGAGATCACATGAGCTGTTAAGAAGCTCAATTGCCGCCTCGCAGTCCTGGACCTGTGCCCGCGCAAGTCGATAGCCCCTCACGAGTGGTCAGATGAGAGATTCGCAGTGCTGCCGGAGATGATGAACACCTTCTGTGGCACGGATTGGGTGATCATCATATTCTCGACGTTAAGAATCGATCAAACTGTGTTGAAGAATGTGCTTCATTGGGATCACGTCAAAGTGATTCCAGGTCGGTGAGAGAGATATTTTGGGAAGGATCAATATGTTGTTCCCGCTGGAAATCTTCCACTGCGACCTCGGGACTGCATGACCATTGTCATGCACGCGTTGAACAACGACTACAAGAAAGTGACTGTGCAGCCACGAAACCATGTCACGTGGTTCGACGATAACGTGAAGGAGGACTTATTTGTGCAATGCACGAACGAGCATGTTGGGATATCGAGCGATACAAAAGCGGTGTACGGGCATTGGGAGAGAGAGCCAAAAAAAGTGGAGGAATTGTGCGAATGGTTTGCAAAGGATGGCGAAGGTGTGCGGCTGCTCGGGAATGTGCAGGCAGGGTCAGTCTGGGAAGTGATGCGGTCAGGACACAATGTTGTTGTGTGTGACAACAATTCAACAATGCTCGATTGGACGTCGACATTCCTCGATATAGAGGTCCACAGGCCAGAAAGTCGTTGCCATTTCGAATGACCCAAAACTTCTTGGCTTCCAGAGAGAGACATGTACCTCAAGCTTGGCAAGAAGAGGGACTCTCTATGGAAATACTTGTTCGGCGAAGCCCCGAAGACTCCAAAGGACATTGGTTATATGCACCGTAAAGTGATTGCCATCCAACATCTCCAAGGGTACCACGAGGCGAAAAATGGTGCGATTGAGATATTCATAGCGCGGTATGAGCGTTTGTGGTTCAACAAACAAGAAGACAGACTGCGTGCGAAGATAGACTGCGTGCGAAGACATACGCCAATGAGTTGGATGCGGGTGAGCACTTCGATGTGCTCGACAGCGAGGGGGAGACATCGGACGAAGATATAGATCTGCCTGTACCGGGTGCTCAACAGGATGTTCGACAGGCGTTGGACGACGTCAAGGGTCATCAGGCAATGGAAAGGATAGAAACGGATGTTGTGGCGAGCCGGGAGAGCGTTCGTGGTGGGGAGCAGCGGTCGTGTGAACAAGGAATGCAAGAGAGTGCGGGGAATGAGATCTGGGGCCCAGTTGGTGCAACCAATGCAAGCAAGAATAGCAGCGATGATGGGTTGCATGCAGGAGCGGCCTCGTTAAGTGGAAAAGAGCCTCATCTCCAATCCAAACGCAAGGAAAGCAGTGCCATATACCCCGAGATATTGACTCAACTGGACAACGTGTATGTGAGCATGGGGCTGTCGACGTTCCCAAGAGACAAGCAATATAACGTCCCCCAGGAGGAAAATGCAGAGGTTAGCAGAATGGGCGTCAACGCCATCAAATTCGCGCTCCCGCCCGACGAGGACGACAAACAGATGCCCGGAGACAGAATTCGAAAGGACATGAAGGAGTTCACCGGAGGCCCGCACTTCATACAGCACATTGGGATGGTGGTTGAGACAGAAGACCACCAATGGGGGCATCATATATTGTGGCACCCGAAGGTCTTTGAGCCCTGCGTATGGAATGGGAAATGACACATGGCTGTGTGCATCGATGGGCAGTGGCAATTGCGAAAGTGGGTATTGGAGAGCAAGTTCTTCGAAATCGCAAAGGAACAGGTTCATATCAAAGTGCGGCAGGCGAACGGTGGATCAGACGACCTTGTAGAAGGAGCATATGCCGACGCACTTTATGACAAGTTGCGAGATCAGAACATGCTGGAGTACAACGCAAACTTTTATGACATTGAATCCATTGTGTCGCACGGTCGGATCCCTTGGAAATTGCCAAGTCGAGAAGTGGTGCAAGAGTTTGAGGGTGAAATATGTCTTGGTAACAGTCAGCAATTGGGACATGACAATGGCCACGCTTCGGCGAGTGCAGCGGGACGTCCATTCACGAGCTTCGTTCATAGTGACAAGCAAGTTCATGAGAGGAACGATATAGAAAAATTTGTGGGCAACAGCGACGAGTCACGAAGTGACACAATGCAGACCGAACAACAATTGTCCCATCCCCCGTCGCAACGGGAGGAATCCGCGGAGGAAAAAGACTCGGCAGATTGCTTTGCAACAATGGAATCTCCCAAGGTTTGCACGGGGTCGGAATCGCAAATGGCCACGGACCCAATGTCCATGCAAGGAACTGAGCTGACGAGGGAAGAGTCAGTGCCACAAATGAAGGGGATAGAAAGTTTGTCAGAGAACACACATGATTTGATGCTTCAACTCAATTTCGACGGCGGCGTACTCGAGCGGCGGCCAAGTGGTGTGCAGAGGGAAGAGAACGTTGATGCCTCAATGGGAAAAGACGATGACGAACTCCAACGAGCCACGACGATTGGCGACAAGCATCAACAACACAAGCGCAAGAGGGAGGATGACGACGTTGTCGTTGACATCGTCACACAGTCAGGTGAGCAATCAGGGCGTGCTGAGGACGGGGAGGTGGGACAAAATGAGAAAGAACAAGAGGAACACCAGCATGTCACATTGCAAAAGGAGAATGTAATCTGCAATGAGAAGCCAAGGAAAGGGAACACAATAGATAATGTTGTGCTCCGACGTTCGGCGAGACCTGTGGCAAAAAAGACAAGGCATGACGACTAGTTGTGTGCATAGAAGTGATTTGTCCGTGTGTGAGAAGATACGTTTGTGTGTAACGAAGTGTGTGTGTGTGTGTGTGTGTGTGTGTGTCTGTGAATTTTTCTGCATGGGCGTGCGTTTGTAGGTTAATGTTCAGGTTCCGGAGGGGTTGTGTTGTCGTGTCATTTTTTTTTTTTCGCGCACTGCGAGCGCTCTAATTTTGTAATTGACAAAATGTATAGAATTCAGACACATAGAGTTGTCTGCCATAGGTCATAATGGCGGGACATTGGTAGTAGGAGCGCATTATTATAAACTGTCTCTCTCTCTTTCTCTCTCTCTCTCTCTCTCTCTCTCTCTCTCTCTCTCTCTCTCTCTC